GCCTCCTGTTGACTGCTGTTTTACTTCCCCGTGTGACCCCTTTATTGCGTTTTTTATGGCTTAACAGGCTCGAAAATCTACGCGATTATAATTATGAGGAAAGCATTTTTATTGGTCGGGAAATAGGAACACTTGAAAATATTATTTTATTTTTCGACCGGAACTCGTGCGTCGGGCCTATGCGTAAACGACGATAATGGTCTTGTCCCATTCACATCCGGCTCTCCCTTTTGATTATGCTAGTTTATTTGCTTGCAAATCAGCCGAGATATGTCTTATTTTATTTTATAACAACGCTCCCCCAGAGCTCGGTCTGATTTACAGTGAGCGTTATTCGTGTATATTTGGGTGATTAATTCATGATAAAGTCTCTGAAGCGTGTGGGAAGTTGTCCTCGTGTTCTTATTGGCATTTGTTTTGGTATGGAGTCATTTGCTGAATTATGTGTCCCAGAGGGATGTGGAGGAGAATGATCCTGGTGACTGTTACATGGTGGAGGCAGAGGGATTGTATTAGATAGATGTGTTGGAAGTGGAGCCAGTCGTCCGATATGTGCACGGTGAATCCAGGTTGTATCGCCATTATCGTTTGCACGTGACACGTCATATTGTTCGTTTTTATAATTGTGTAATTTCCTATCCAGGGCAGATGAGAGGATTGGGCAACAGTTGAGTGTGGCCTGTGAAGTAAAACCTTGTCGCCTACTTGGGTCCTTGTATGTGAGGCGATTTAAGTTAGTCTCAGGTTTGTGGTCAGCTTCATCGTTGGCCAGGGTGACGTGGTGGTGAACCTGCTTTAGCAGGGCATTAATTTGCATTCCATATGCTCCAGGATCGTCACTTGCGATTTCTTTTCAGTTTAGTGTAGGTAGGCCGATGTTGGGGTGACGGCCAGTAATGGCATACTGCGGGGAGACACCGGTGGCGCTGTTGGTCGTGGCATTCATGGACGAAACGACAGATTCTAGAACGTCTGTCCATTCACAGTTCCTGTCTTCGCATAACAGATAAAGTGCGTTCTTCATCGTGCGATGATGTCTCTGGATATTTCCTGAGCTTTGCAGGCGCCAAGGACAGTGAAGTTCTTGCGTGATTGACATCTGGTTACAGAATTGTCGATAGACTTCTCCAGTGAAGTGTGTGCCTCGATCAGAGGATACTATGCGTGGAATCTTTCTGTGTCGAAGGAAGAAATGGTACAATCCGCGGGCGGCGTCGATAGCACGGTCTCTCGCGCATGGTATGGCTGTAAAGTGTCGTGAAAGTGAAGCTATCCAAGATAGTTAGGATGTACCGTTTTCCCTGATGGCACGAACGTTCACATCCGGCTCTCGCTCTTGCGTATGCTAGTGTATTTGCCTGCAAATCAGCCGAGATATGTCTTATTTTATTTTATAACAGTATCAATTGAAAAATATTGATTTTGACAAGATTCAAAAGTTTTCTCAAAGTTGTATTACAAATTTTAGATTTTACAAACTCTTAAAAAAATATTGAAATTTACGTGCAAAAGCAAGCTGTTGTGGTTACTTTTTGAATGTTCACCACGGTTGTTTGACAATTTAAATTGCTATTTGAAAACATGCGAAAACCAATAAAATTATTAAAAATCCGTATGGTATCGATTGAAAAGTATTGATTTTGACAAGGTTCAACAGTTTTAGAAAGTTATATTACAAATTTTAGGCTTTTCAAAAATATTTACGTGCAATAGGAATCTGTTTTGGCTACTATTTGAACGTTAAAGGCGTTTGTTTCAAAATTTAATTTCCTATTTGAAAACATTATAAAACCAATAAAATTATTGAAAATCAGTATGGTATCAATCGAAAAATATTGATTTTGAAAAGTTTCAACTGTTTCATATTTATAATAAAAATTTTAGGTTTTACAAACTTTTGAAAAATATTGAAATTTCAGTGCCAAAGCAAATCTGTTTTGTTTATATTTTGGCCGTTAAACGGTTGTTTAGAAATTTAATTTTCTATTTGAAAACATAGGAAACCAATAAAATTATTGAAAATCGATATGGTATCGATCGAAACGTATTGATTTTGACAAGTTTCAACAGCTTTTACATAGATGTATTACAAGTTTTAGGTTTTGCAAACTTTAGAAAAATACTGAAATTTCAGTGCAAAAGTAAGCTGTTTTGGCTACTTTTCGAACGTTTTTTGCGGGATGTACACGAAGTGAAATATATCTGAAGTAAGATTAAAGTTATGCGTATCCCACAAAATCTTGGTCATACAAACAATTTAAGAACAGATTGCATGGCAACAAACTACCAAATACTGTCGTTAATGATTTAACATTAAAGAAATTTTATATAAACAATAAAATCTACATGCAAGATCTTCCTTCATCAGGGTTCATAAAGAAAGCATAATTAACGGTAGTTTCTCCAGCCAAGTTTGGGCAGTGTCAGAATTTGTTAATGCGGCTTTAAGTTGACGGAGGAACCTCTCGACAAGGCCATTTGCACAAGGGTGATATGCAGTTGTCGAGATATGGGTAGCTCCAAGCAAGTTCACGAATTCTTTGAATAATGTCGACTGGAACAACCGAAAATGGAAATCCATTCCCGCAATATTGCGTTAGCAACAGATTCTGCCGTGGTGGACTGAAGAGGGATGGCTACTGGCCAACGAGTAAATCTGTCAGTTATCGTTAAGATGTATTGATAGCCATGAATTTCGGATAATGGACCCACCAAGTCCACATGAAAATGCTGAAAGCGGCCACCAGGTTCTGCGAATCGTCTCGGCGGTGATTTAATGTGTCGGTGTACTTTAGTTCGCTGGCATCTGACACAACTCTGGGTCCAGCGTTTAATGTCGGAACTCATTCTAGGCCATACGAAACGTTCGCCTATTAACTTCGTCCGCCGTTCAGGATGCGATAGTGAGTGGAAGTGATTGAATATGTACCTTCTCATGGAGGCAGGAACCAAAGGTCGGGGGTGACCTGTACTGGTGTTACATAGTAACTGCCCGCTGCTGAAGGAAACGGGACGTGCCTCAATTCGAAAAGATACATCTTCTTTTAGGTCTGACAGTGTCGTCTCTTTATTGCTCGTCGGCTAACGTATCGAAATCTAGTGGTTTGCTCGATGCACTGATTATAGTAGCGCGCGACAGCGTGTCTGCTACAGTACTATGATTCCCCTTTATGCATCGAATATCAACAAAGAGACGACGTGAATTGGGAAATATAGTCTAGCTGTCGGTAATCACGAGGGTTATATTTGTCGCTCTTAGCATGTATAAGGGGTTTGTGATCCGTGAAAACGGTGAAATTGCGTCCCTCTAAGAGATAGTGAAAGTGTTTGATGGCTGTGTAAATAGCTCACAGCTCACGCGAAAAAGTACAGTGTTTTTTGCGGAGGACTAAGTTTTACAGAGAAAAATAAAAGTGGCTTAGTTACCTCGCCTGTATATGCAGATGTAATACAGTTCCGATTGCTTCTTAAGAAACGACGGTCGTAAGAGATAGGTGTGTTTTATCGTCGTCTCGAATATAAGTAAGCTTGGTGAAATTAGTAAGCTTGGCTTCATTGAATGCAGTGAGAGCTTCACCATTGGGTGTAATTTTGGTGTTGCGTTTATCCTGGTTACGGAGTTGATTTGTCAGGGGTGCCAGTATATGTGAACATTTAGGGATAAACTGACGGTAGTAATTGATTAGTCCCAAGAATCTGCGAAGCTGTCAAAGTGTTGTCGACAGAGGAAAATGTTGTACTGCTTCTACTTTGTCGGCGACGGGTGTAATGCCAGTACCGTCTATCGTGTGCCCGAGAAAGACTAGCCTGGGTACTGTGAATACACATTTGTCGGGGTTAATTTTAAGACCAAAGTGGTTAAGTCGCTCGAAAACTTGAGTTACATGACCTATGTGCTTGTTCATGTCTTTGCTAGCCATGAGAAGCTCGTTGATGTTGGCGAATGAATGTGGTAATCCACAGAGGACTTCATCGATTAGCCGCTGGAAAAATTGTGCAGCGTTCCGTTGTCCGTAGGGCATCTGCAAAAACCGAAGGGTGTAGTTATTGCAGTTTTATGAACGTCCTCCGGAGCTACCGAAATTTGGTAAAATGCCTTCCTTAGGTCAATTTTCGTAAATATTTGAGCACCTTGAAGTGTTACTGCAAAGTCTGCTAGATTTGGCACAGGGTATTTATCAGGCACAGTTTGTCGAAAATCTCGCCGGGTCTCCACGCCCCCGATTGTGTCTTAGGCATCATGTGGAGTGGGGAAACGAAGGGGCTGGATGACGTTCGTACAATGCCGAGGTTTAACATTCGCTAGTTTGTATTTATCCGAGCTTAACCTACGTGGGGATGAGAAAACAAGAGGACCGGATGTCTGAATCCCATATACAGTGTTGTGTTTGACGGACTCCATATAAGTGAAAGGTGTTGTAAGCGCCGGGAATTTATCTAATACGTGCTGTAGCGGGTTGTTTTCAGGAAGTACGGCACAGATTTTAGTGGATATATATGTGGAAACCATGCCTGTGGGCTAAGAAGTCGGCCAGGAGGATAGGAATTTTCACCTGTGCGACGGGAACGATCTTCTTAAGCCGATATTGAGTGTGAGAGAAATATATGTCTCGATCTTCGTACCGTTTGCTGCACGCAGGGTATATGATGGCTCGCTCATTGTGGTGTTAGTCTGGATGGAATTACACTGACCTGGGCTCCAGTGTCCACCAAAAATAACTCGCCTAAGTAAAAAAGACGTAAAAAAGACAGTTAACTCGATTTCCACCAACAGCAGACGCCGTCTTTATTCGCTGTTGGGATCGCCTTTTCCCGCTTGTTTTTTCGTAGTAGATGTTGGTTGATCGTTGAAATGGCAAGGCTTTGCACAAAATCTCGCTGCTTGTCCAAACTTCTGGTGGTACCAGCAAATACCAGTATTTGGTTTACTCCTGGTCCTCGAATTAGATCTGCTATGATGTCGAGACTTGTATGCGTTGTATGTTGGACGCGAACGCACTCTACTCAGTCGCTCCAGTTGCATGGACATTTTCTTTAGCGTATCGTAACGGGGGTCTGCTGTCAGCCGAGAAAATATGGATGTTGTTAAGGGTCCTTGCCTCTACGATTCTATCGGCTATTTCAGCCACTCGTATTAGGTCCAAGTCCTCAGGAAGCGTTGCCAAAATCTGTGCGGTGTGGGTTGGCAGCTTGTCTAGCCAGAGTTTCCGTAGCAAGGTCTTTGACATGGTGTTGTTACCCAGAAGGTTTTTCATCTTACGAAGAAGTTGGGTTGGTTTGTTCTGGTCAAGTTGCAGTGTGTTAAACAGGTCGTTAATTCGTCGTTCAAACTTTACTTTCCGGTCCTTTATACAATTGGCTTCTTTCAGAACGTCGAATGGGTTCTCTGTTGGGATATTATCAAATAAATCGGAAACCACCGATGCGATGTTGGGAGGTAGTTTCTCGACTACATAAGCGAAACAAGCGTTCTGTGACTGGATTCTCTTTGTCCGAAATATTGCGCTCAGTTGTGAGAACCAAACGTGAACGTTTATCGTGTTGAAGACGGAAGTTTGACCAGGACTTGCAGCTCCGTCACTGTCTGGGACTGTCATGTTGAGTTGCGTGAATTCGCATGTGGTAACGAAAAAAATTGCGCGTCAAGTTGATATGCTGATTTCGGGATGTCTCTCTGACTAGGTTCACTCGCATTTTTTGATGTTTATCGAAAATAAAATTTAGAAAACTAGTGGAAATAAATATTGCAAATTTTGATCTTTTTCAAATGAAATTTTAGAATACATATGGATATATTGCAAATTTTCTTATTTTTCAAATGAAATGTTAGAAAACAAATGGAAATAATACATATATTGACATTTTCAAATGAAATGCTAGAAAACAAATGTAAGTATTGAATGTTTTTATATTTTTTAAATTAAACAAGAAAAAAGGTAAATATCATATTTTGATATTTTTCATAAAAAAGTAAACAAATTTAAGATATTTTACATGAAAATGTTAAAAACAGATGCATATTTTGCATATTTTCAAATGAAATGTTAGAAAACAAACGAACAAATGTAAATATTACATATTTCAATATTTTTCAAATGATTTATTAGAAAACAAATGAAAATATTACATATTTTGATATTTATCATGACATGTTAGAAAACAAATGGACGTATTGATAATTTTAATATTTTTCAATATAAAAAGTCAAAAACAATTGAAAAAAATCATATTATGACATTTTGAAAATGAAAAGTTAGAAAACAGATTGAAATATAGCATATTTTGATATTTTTCAAATGAAATGTGAGAAAAAAATTGGAAATATATATTTTCATATTTTGCAAATGAAATATTTATTAACAAATGGGAATGTTGCAAATTCTTGTTTTTCAGATGAAAAACAAATCGAAATATTACATATTTTGATATTTTTCAAATGAAGTTTTACAAAACTGGAGGAAATATGTTGTATTTTGATAATATTCAGAAAAAAGTTGAAAGCAAATGAAAGATATCATATTTTAATATTTTACAATGAAAAGTTACAAAACTGATGGAAATGTAGCATATTTTTATATTTTTTAAATATGTTAGAAAATAAATGGAAATATTGTATATTTTGATATTTGCAAATGAAATAGTAAACATATGGACATATTACAAATGTTGTTGTTTTTCAAAGGAAATGCTAGAAAACAAATGGAAATATTGCACATTTTGTTATTTTTAAAATGAAGTGTAAGAAAAGAAAGGGGAATATAACATATTTTGATATTCTTCAAAAGAAAACTTTGAAAGCCAATGAAATATATCATTTTTGATATTTTGCAATAAAAATGTAGAAAACAGGTGAATATATAGCATGTATTGATATTTCTCAAATGAAATGTTAGAGGACAAATGCTAATACAGCTTATTTTGATATTTTTCAAATGAAATGTTAGAAAACAAATGGAAATGTTACCTTTTTTGATATTTTTCAAATGAAATGTTGCAAAAGAAATAGAATTATTTCATATTTTGATATTTTTCAGAAGAAATATTAGAAAACAAATAGAAATGTTCCTTATTGTAAAATTTTCAGATGAAACATCAAAAAACAAAAGGAAATATAGATTTTTATATCATCACAATAATATTTTTCTGGCGTTCTCAATACTCCGCATTATTTAATCAGTCATTGTACTGATTTACTACTTATCCTTTCTACCCATCCTAGCTTTAATAGGGGACTTGGTGATTTCTGTAGTCGATTCGAGGTTCTCCCCAACAGTGGTCAACTCTCCTTCTAATTCCATGGTAGATTCAATCGCATTCACATTGGATATGCTTTTACGAAGCTCACTTAATGGAATCCCTTTTGCACAGGTACTTACCAACCAGTTCACCTCGTCTGCATGACAACTTCATTCGCACAACTTCAGTCACCAGCAGATTACTACTATCAGTAATATGACTAATAATAATTCTACAACGGTTGACCAAACTATTATAGCCCACTTATTCTCTTCTCAACTCGGACTATTTCCTTCCACCATGTCTATTTTAGATTTTAATTCTTCCAAGTTAATTTTATCAAGATAAAGTAATGTGATGAGGTAATCTAGTCTTAACCTTAACCAGATTGGGGTTACTATACTTGGTGACAGGTGTCCCATAGATAACATATCCAACTGAGCCCTCACATGCTCTAGCAAGAATGTTAATGATTAACTAGTTTGTCGGACTTAATTGTTAACAACAGCAACTGAAAATCTCATTGTAAAACCACCTCCCAATCCCCTTAGTTCCACTGCTAAGGTTTCTGTTACATCGAACACCTCTTTTCTAAAACTCTGCAATTGGGAGATTAGCCAATTTATGATTGGTCAGTTCCAACCTGGTAACATTAAGAATAGATATACTCTCTCTAACTACTTTGGATATCACTCGTTGGTACTTTTCTACACTTTCTAATTTTCCACTAATCACTCTTACATCGTCTTCTGACACCGTCCCGAATAAAACACTCATTGCCTTCTCTATAATAGGCAGTATAGCATGCTTCCTTCTAGTTTGAAATAACTCTAGCTCCTTCAGGTATGAACTCATATCCTTCCATTGTCTATCAAGTACCTTAGATTCTTGTGCCAAAGGATACGTTATACGGCGATACTCTTCCTTCTGTATGTAATCCCAAGCTACCTGTGTTCTAGCCATATTGAGCTTTGCTATTTCAATTTCTAAACGAGCCAATAAGTCTTCCTACGGCTGTAAGTCTATCACTAGGGTTATCAACCATTTGTATCTAGTCATGGCCACCTCACTGATTTTTTTAAATACAGTATTTTCGCTTCGTTCCCAGGCACTTACTGTCAAAATCAGCATCAGCGCCATCAGTGGTCCTCCCTTGTTCATATTCGCATTGAGATAAAGATGAGGGTTTACTTTTACTTCTACATTCCTTTCTTCCATTTTCTTCTGGTTATTGATTTGCAAAATTACCCGAAAAAGTAATCCATTCTACGGCCAGTGGCGCCACGCATGCATGGGGGCCCTTCTTTACACCCATTAACACTGATAATCACAGTCGGGCCCGCCTCTCAGGCTTCTTCTGCATGTATCTTATCAATCTCATATATTCCTCTATTCGGGGGCCTTAGTTCTCACTCCCCCTCTCAGTCGTGGATTTATAGGTAATTCTATGTCTTTAGATGCTTTTTCAGTTTTCTTCCTTTATTTCGGAGCTTCTAGTCTCTACCCTTCTTCCATAGTTTTTGCTTACTCTTCATAATTTTTTACCGGACAGTTTAAACTAACTCTTCTCCCTGTTTTATTGTAATAGTTTTATTGGCTGTATTAGCCAACAATAGGTGGCACCATTTCATCCCTTCCACCACAGAACTACACAAGGTCACCTCTTCTTCACAATTATCATACATCTCTGTAGGTTTTATCTAATATAACCCTTCCGTTAGTTTCTCCACTCTATCTATCCTTCCATCACATGAAACGGCCATTCTAGGGGGAAGTTTCACCTCTACTACAGGGCACTTCTTTTCCACTTCATAACCTAATGGAAACTCTACTCCTCCCAAAACCGATGTAGCCATATCAAAGCAGATTTGGGCCTTATTCAGCCTAAGCCAGTCACTCACTAAATTAATTCTCCACACAAATCAGGTTCCACATACACATTTAGCCTTCACCAATTTTAATGGTAGCCATGCCATACCCTCTATTCTCATCTGACTACTATCTGCCTGGCTAATGAATAAATCCACTAGCTAAAGTTTTCTATTTTATTTAGATATTATGCAATGAAAAGTTAGAAAACAGATTGACATATATTGGCATATTTTGATATTTTTCAAATGAAATATTACGTATTTTGCATTTTTTTAAATGAAATGATTAACACACAAATAGAAATATTGCGTATTTTGATATTGGTCCAATGAAATGTTACAAAACAACTGGAATATTGCATATTTTGATATTTTTCAAAAGCAATGTTAGAAAACAAATGAAAATATTGCATAATTTGATATGTTTGAAATGGAATGTTAGGAAAACAAATGGAAATTTGATATTTTTCAAAAGTAAAATTTGATAGCAAATGAAAAATATTGTATTTTGATACTTTGCAATGAAACCTTATAAAACACAAAGAAAAATAGCATATTTTGCCATTTTTAAATGAAATGTTAGAAAACAACTGGGCATGTTGCTAATTTTGAGATTTTTCAAATTATATGTGAGAAAACAAATTGTAATATTGCATTGCATATCAAATTATATATATATTTCAAAAGAAATGTTAGAAAACAATTGGAAATATCACATATTTTGATATTTGTATCATGAAATGTCAAAAAACTAATGGAAATATTAAATATTTTGATATTTTCCAAGAAAATGTTGGAAAAAAAATGGAAATATTATTATTTTGATATTTTCAAATGAAATATGAGAAAACAAATGAAAATATTACATATTTTGATATTTTTCAAATGAAATGTTAAAAACCAAATGGAAATATTACATATTTTCAAATGTTACAAAACAATTGCAAATATTGCATATTTTCATATTTTCCAAATGAAATGTTACAAAAAAATTTGGAATATTGCCTATTTTGATATTTTTCTAATAGAATTTTAGAAAACAGTTAGAAATATTGCATATTTTGATAATATTTGAAAAAAATTTGTAAGATATCATATTTTGATATATTGCAATGGAAAGGTAGAAAACAGAGGGAAATATAGCATATTTTTTAAATGGAATATTAGAAAACAAATGTAAATATTACTAATTTTGATATTTTTCAAATGAAATTTTAGAAAACATCAAAATATTGCATATTTTGATATTTTTCAAATAAAATATTAGAAAACAAATGGCAATATTGTATATTTTTATATTTTTCAAATGAATTGATAGAAAAAAATGGAAATGTTGCATATTAATAATTTTTGAATGATATGATAGAAAAAATTGAAACATTGCATATTTTAACATTTTACAAATTAGTAATTTTACAAAAACTAATGTGAATATTATATATTTTGAGATTTTTCAAATGAAATGTTAGAAAACAAATGAAAAACTAGAA